GTAAGAGAAAAGCGATATAGAGTTACTAAAGTATAATCCTGAAGAAAACAWATTGACACGGAATATTCCTCGTGATTATAAATGATGGTGATGTTGTTCGTTCTTGTTAAATTACGTTGTCGTTGCTTTTTCTGATTGATGATATTCATGTTGCTAAAAATTGAATATTGTTTGGCGTCGATGTTGCTGTTGTTGCTGCTGTTGTTGTTAGTGTAATAATGTTGTTTGTTAGTGTATACTCACCAAGTCTTGCCCTTCTCGAGTAGCAGGACTGTCCATTCCRAAAAAGTATTTCTTAGTTAGCCAAGAGTTCTTGACATCTTTGGCTTTTTGGTCCCGTTTTTCTTCCATGAAGCGAGGAAGACGACGAAACGTTTCCATGTCGGTCCAAGCCACCAAATCCTTTATTCCTGAACACATGTATCAAAATAATAATTTAGACCAGCCCTTACTCTGATTGGCCAATAAGCTTGTACTTCACTCGGCTGTCAAAATATYAACAATATTAAAAGCGCGTGGAAAGATTGTTCATTTTCCCGGTTTTTTGCTGGAGGCTATAAACGCTACGTCATTTCAATATTAATCACGAGCAAAAAGAGAAAGAAAAAAGGCAAACCGCATATTTAATGTTCACCATATGTTTTGTCATAGTCGCTAATTATTTTCTGATGAAGAGAATTTGGAAATTTTTCAATAGGTGCTCYTGTGAACTGGGTTATTACTCAGCATTCATAAAGACCTCGAGAGGTGAAAAACCTTTGGGAGTTGTTTCTGAAAGTAATCAATATTTCATCGTGTGAGCTCGGGCAATCGTACTGACCAACCCGAAGTGCTGTTCGTACACAATTTTACCTTTTGTGTGTTTCTTGCTTAAAAATTCCCTAAARAATTCCACCTCTTTTCTGTTTCTTATCAACATTTCAAATGAAAAGCCATCTTTTGGAATAGGCATTGGACGGTTTGCTTCGTCAATGGAAATCTTCTCTTTCTCCATGTCAGATTCAGTTCCATCGAGCTAAAACAATACAATTACAGGAGTTCTTAAGATAAAGGGATTTCTTTTCGCTATAAAAATGTGTGTAGTTATTCGACAGCATGAAATTCTATAACAATATCAAGATAGTTAAGTTCAGTGCCCTTGGGCTTCACCCCAAAGTATCTTTACAACATTATGAAAATGGAATCTATGGTTGTTGGTATTTACGTGGTTCGATAACCTACAATGTATGAACTACATGGTATGATGTCACCTGTTTTAAAAATGGAGTATGAACTATTAAGAACTGATATCGTTGCAGATTAAAGCCTTTTCGATAATCCTTTATCAGCGCAAAAGAAGTAGGTCAGTACCTAACAAAAGGCAACACTGATTTAGGGGGAGGAGGGGTAACTTTAGTTCATTCGCGACAACAGTTTGTCCCCAATTGTACACTTGTTGGTTAAGGATACCGTGTATTTGATCAAAACAAAAGTGTCGTCAATACCTCGCGTGTCTGTACTACACTTTGTCTTCTCCTTGCCATCACTTGAATCTCGATGTGACGAAGTTTTTGCTCAGTTTTCACCTTAAAAAGTTCGAAAGTATAGTCACAAACAACTTTAAGAAATCACAACACTGGCTCAGTTACAACACTGCACAGCACTAATTAACATTGAATGAAATCTGTTCTAATTCCTCCATAGTTAATCTTTTTCTTTATAAAGATCATTGCTCACCACAATTAAATCAGAAAGTAATTTAAAACCGTAAATGGAAAATAAACCGTTTAAATAAACATAATAAGGAGTTGTAGAGTGGAACAGTGGAGCAACGAGTAGAGGAGCACCATAACTAT